TTTGCAAACTGAACAGCATACAATATGAGACTGGGTGTTGCAGTATGGTTATATATATATATATATTATCCAAGGAGCTCTGGTAGCATAGTGGTTACGAATCGGGCTGCAAACCTCAAGGTCCGCAGTTTGAAACTACCAGCTGCTCCGCAGGAGAAAGATGAGGCTTTCTGCTCCCGTAAAGATTTGCAGCCTCGGAAACCCTGTGCAGGTTCACTACGAGTCGGAACCGACTCCACGGTACTTAACAACAACATATATTGTCCAAAAAATAAAGCAAGCCTGACAAGCCTATTCTATTCATCAAAATGTCCCTGGAAAATTCTTTCTTGCTCAGAAAAGTATTTGGCTAAGAAGACAAACGAGGCAGGTCTCGAGGGAGCCATGCCTGGTGAGCAGGCTCCCAGAGAGCCAGGCATCTGCTTGTGTGGAATACAGGAATTAAAAAGCAGGAACTGTTAATTATTCACAAATCTACAAAAACAAGTTAATTATTCTTTCTAAAGTTTAGGTTGTTTATTAGCTTAAATGTTTGCCCTGTGAAACCAGGTTCGCGGTCATGCTCTTCCAGGCTTGGCGTATGTGACTCCTCCATCTTGTCTTTAGCTTCCACAAACACAGAAAGTATCGCTTAAGTAAAAGTGATTTTAAAGAAAAGAAGAAGAAAGTTTAAAGAAAAGAAGAAGAAAGTTGATAATGGAGAGTGGTGATTGTTGTATAACATGGTAAGTGTAGTTAATGTCGCTGAATTGTACACACAAGACTGTTTTGTTGATATGTTTTATCACAATAAAATTCTTTAAAATCAGGATTTTGTGAGTAGTATCTTAGTTATCTAATGCTACTAACAGAAATATCACAAGTGATGGCTTTATTATAATCCAGAAAATTATTCTCTCACTACTTAGGAAGTCTAAATTCAGAAAGCCAGCTCTTAGAGGAACTGGCTCTGGGTAAAGGTCCTTGTCTCCTTTCAAGCATCTATAGGCCCAGTATTCCTTGGAGATCTCCATGCATCTTATGGCCAATATTGCCTGTATCTAGAGCTTAACAATGGAGCGCTAGAAGCGTAGTGGTTACAAATCAGGTTGCCAGCATCAAGGTCAGCAATTCGAAACTACCAGCGGATCCGCGGGAGAAAGATGTGGCTTTCTGGTCCTGTAAAGATTTACAGCCTCAGAAACCCAATGCAGAGTTGCTATGAGTAAGAACTGACTCCACGGCATATAACCACCACTAGGAGATTCCCAGGGCAGGGACCCCTGGTCCAAAGGATGCACTCCACTCCCAGTTTTTCTAGCTTGGTGATAGTCAGTTTTGTCTGCTCAAATCTCTCTCCTTTTCTTTCTTGTAAGATAAAGGTGCTGCATGCTACTCCCTTGGGAAGCCCCTGTAAATTGGATCAAGGTGGCGGTGGGATTAAGGGTAGTGTATCTCACCCTTAACCCTATTACTGGTTTCAAATCAAATCACAACATGAGGGATAGCAACATCTCAACTGCCTAACCACTGAAAATTCTGGCCCAGTCAAGTTGATACAAAAATTTTAACCATCACACAAGCAGCCTATAGAATTCTATCCTTGTCCCCAAAGTCTTGTAAGTGGATTTTAATAGGTATGGTCATGAGTGACCAGGGAAGAGAGAATAATGAAATTCTGAGGGAAGCAGGGGAAGGTACAATTGCCGGCTACGTTCCCCTCTTGCTGTGTTCCAGGAAAACTACATTCCCCTCTTGCTATGTTCCAGAAAGCTACATTACCCCCTTGCTATGTTCCAGAAAGCAATAGGAGCAGCCAACAGCAGTCATCATCCGACTAAGAAGAAATAAAGGAGCACTATGGAGCACTGGCTACGTATCAGACAATATTCTGTTCTCTCAGTCCATCTTCATGATGAGTCTGGGAGGTAGAAATAATTACCCGTATTTTTACACATAAGCAAAATGAAGTTAGGGGAAGCTGAATAACTTGCAAAGTAAAGACCACATTGCTGATAAATAATGGAGCTATAACTTAAGTTGAGATCTGACTCTAAAACAAGTTCTTTCCTTTCCATATTACTGTCCCAGTTATCTTTTGCTATTTAACAAATGACTCCAAAACGTCATAGTTTAAAACAGTAAGTGTATCTCATGATTTGTGGGCCAAGAATTCAGGCAGGGCTTGGCTAGATGATTCTTCTATTTCACGTGGCATTAACAGAGATCACTCAGTGATGTTTATTTGGTAGACGGACTGTTCTAGAGAGTCCATGTATGCTTCACATCCCTGGTACCTTGAAGGGGATGGCTGGAAGGCCAGGTCAGCAATGACTATTAACCAGCATACCTAACATATCACTCATGATCTCTTTAGCATAATAGACTTAGGTAGCTATATTCTTGCATTGTTGTTGTCGTTAAGTGCCGTTGAGTCAGTTCTGACCCATACTGATCCTGTATAGGCTTTCTGAGGAGCAGCTGGTGAGCTTTGAACCACCGACCTTGTGGTCCACACCAAGACTCCATATCTCTTGCATTTGTTGTTGTTAGGTGCCATCGAGTCATTACCATCTCATAGCAACCCTATGTACAGCAGAATGAAACACTGCCCAATCCTGGACCAACCTCACTGCTGTTGCCATGCTTAAGTCCATCGATGCTGCCACTTGGTCAATCCATCTCATTGGGGGTCTTCCTCTCATTCTCTCTCCCTCCACCTTACCAAACATGATATCCTTCTCCAGTGACTGGTCCCTCCTGACAATATGTCCAAAGTATGAGAGCAGAAGTTTGGCCATCTTGGCCTCCAAGGAGCATTCTGGTTGCACTTCTTCCAAAACAGATCTATTGGTTCTTTTGACAGCCCATGGCACTTTCTATTCTCCTCCAACACCATAACTCAAAAGCATCAATTCTTCTACGGGGGGTCTTCCTTATTCACTGTCCAGCTTTCATATGCATATGAAGTGATTGAAAATGCCATGGCTTGGGTCAGGCACACCTAAGACCTCAAGCTTTCTTGCATAGGTTTAAGAGATTACAATTCCCAGACAGTGTTACCATTGCTCTTATTGAGAGGCGGAGTCTAATGTTCTAGAACTTCAAAGACTTACAATTCCCAGAGTGTTCACAGAGACCCAGACAAAAGTTGTAGGTTCCTAGAAACCAGTCTTGCAAGTTCTAGAACATTACTTCTGCCATGTTCTATTGGTTAAGCATTCGACACCCCCTCTTCTTAATGAGAGCAGTGGTAAAGAATTTTCAGTCACAGTTCATCTACTATAAACATACTGTTAAAAAACCCTACCAAGGGTTACGTGAATTCCAGTATAAATATTGGCAGAAGAAAAGTGCACCCCAGGCATTGAGCCATTTACCTTGGAAGGCAAAAATTGAACAGACAAGTCAGATTCACACGTTGTTGTAGTTGTTAAGTACCATGGAATGGATTCTGACTCATAGCAACCCCGCACAGGGTTTCCAAGGCTGTAAATCTTTACGGGAGCAGATAGCCTCATCTTTCTCCCATGGAATGGCTGGTAGTTTCGAACTACCAACCTTGAGGCTAGCAACCCGATTTGTAACCACTATGCTACCTATTCACACATAGCTCTCTTTATTTTCCCATCATCCTGGCTGAAGAAATCCAGGTGTTTGATGGTGATTAGGAGAAGAAGAGATGCCCTCCTTCCTTCCTCAGTCAGTCAAAACATGCATACATGCACACACACATAGAGCTGAAAAATATTCCATTCTTTCTCTGCTTTGCTGATTTGGGTTCAAGTGACAGAGTCCCGAAGAATTCTGACTCTGGCGCTGGAGCTCCACTGCAGTGTCTCAGGATGCACAGTGTCTGGTATGAACTCAACAAACATGAGACAGGCTGGGACCTTCTCTTCTCCCTCTCATTCTCATTCATTTGTTCCTTCCAGACCCCAAAGTCTCTATAAGTACATCTCTGCTGTATCATCCCCTGGAACTAAGGTCTTGCCTCTTCTTAGGATGTGACCTTCAACTTAGAGGTTGTTAGTCATTTTCTACCCTTCAGTTCTGCGGTTAGATTGGGGGAAGCAGGGTTCATATTCTTGAAATGGGGTGGAGCAAGCTGATTTTAGTAGAGTGGCCTCAAAGTTGGAATGTATAAAAAGTAATAAATCAGACACCTTTTTTTGCACCGTGAGTGTCAGTCTCCTGCTAATGGATCTCTTAAACCTTAATGTGCTTAAAGAGTACTTGTTCTTTTTGAACTGTGGGTTTTCATACCAAAAGTGCCCTGCTATTTAGATTTGGGAGCTGCCAGGATCCTGAGACGAATTGTGGGGAATATCCATTCAAACTCATCCTGCTTTTCAGGTAAGGTCTAAGAGTTACAGTCAGGCAGTTTCCTAGAGTAGAGCAAGGCATTCCCCTAGACAGTTTGTGAGGTGGGATTCTTCTTCATGATTTATAGACACACAGTGCAATGATGGGATTGTTCTTCAAAATAATATAACCATTACCAGAGAATATTGAAAAGCGAGGCACAATATTAAGCATAATGTATGTCTCCAAAAGATAGATAGATGTTAGCAGAATAAGTAAGTCGACAAACATAAGCAGTTTGTTGAGAGAACAGAATGAAGTAGGAGATGGGGAGGTGGCTTTGGTCTGAGATCCCCAAATGAGGGCAGCGGCAGTGTGGGAAATGTTCACTCTCTGCTCCATTTCCTGAACTTCTCTTTCTCTTCCCTCACAGTTGAAAGGAGTGGGAGTGGAGAGAGGCATGGTTTAAGGAAGACAAAAACTTCAAACCCTGCCTATATAGGATTTCCAAGACTATAATTCTTTATGGGAGCAGACAGCCTCATCTTTCTCCTGCAGAATGGCTGATGGGTTTGAACCACAAACCTTGTATTTAGCAGCCCAACACCATACCCATAGTGCCAGCAGGGCTCCGAGAGGAATAGGTAGTATCTTACTAAATTGACACAGACGTAAGCCTGCAAATGTGTCCTCCAAGCACAGCAGTTCCTCATGCCAAGGTTCCCATGGAGCACTTTTATGATTCTCTTAGGATTCTCCAAATGAGAAGCTTCTGTCTTTGTTTTGGGTCTCCCAACGGTAGATCTATTTCAGGGATCATTTGGGAGGTGATTCCAGTACTGACAGGTGAGATACTGTGAAAGATGAAAAGCTACTTATAAAGGTGCATTTATTGAGGTTGTTGTTCTAGGCAGTGGGGTTTATAATTTATCAGGACCTCTGAAAAGTTTACAAAATTCCTTCCAGAATTGTCAGGAAGCTTTATGCTGTGACCTCTGCCAGACTTCACCCTATTGTTGTTGTTGTTGTTGTTGTTAGGTGCCTTTGAGTCGGCACCAACTCATAGTGACCATGCACAGCAGACCGGAAACACTGCCCAATCCTGGGCCAACCTCACTACTGTTGCTATGCTTGAGTCCATAGATGCCGCTGCTGGCCAATCCATCTTGTTGGGGGTCTT